AAGCAACAGGTTACACGTGCATGATCCACTGTCTGTCTCCCTCCTATGAACATGTCAACATTTTGGCTTTTTCATTGTAACTCTCAGACTATTTGATATGCCTGCCACTGCAAAATTATTATAAAGAATAATTATTATGCAAATTATTATAAAGAAACTAAGACAAGTAACACATTAAACATAACATTTTGAAGTAGAAAGACTGAAATAGTATTGTAAAACACTCCAATAATCTTTATTTACAATTAAAAAATATATATATTTTTTTTTTCTTTTTACAATTTCGAAAATTCTCCATGTCACAACTAGCCCTGGTCTTTCCTGTGTGTTTAAAGCAAAATTCTAGAGTAGCCTACTTCCATTATAATTATTTGAAATACAGCAATTTAAAATGTTTTAGTAGGCCTACCTAGCCTACTATTTTAACAAGTATCTGGTTAATTTTTTATTTCAATTTTATAGTGAAAACACTAAACTAAACTGAGATATACACTAAAAACACTAAAATATCTGTAAATGTACATTTGAAATGTGTGTAATATAGTATTGCTTATGCAAGAGTGCATACTTGTACTTCATCTGACTGAGTACACTGGCTATTTATGTCGTGCTTTTTTTTTTTGCCTCTTTTGTTATGATGCGGGCGATCCTACAATCTTAACTACTGTATACCACTGTAAAGTCGCCTTACATCAAAACGTTAAAGGCATTTGATTTCAGGCAAGCCTTTTAAAACAAAAAAAAACCATGATGTACTCAAAGTACACTATTGTTTATTTTGCTTAACCATAATCTACGTACAAATCACATATGCACATTGTCAACACTACGAGCATTATGCTGTGTCTCATCTCCTGAGAGACTGAATGCTGCCCTCTGGTGTAAAGTCTTCATTTATGTTCACTCTGGATGGTGTGACAGTAAAATTCATCTTTAGAAGGTAAAGTTATAACTTATCAACGTAACGTGGCTAATTCGTGAATGTAATGTAGCCTAGAGGTGGAACTTAACCTGACAGAGTGTATATCTGCACAAACACGCTCTTCCATCCGCGACAATAAACCAAACGCAGCTGTGCACACTAACTGCATTAGCTAACCGATGTTAATTCTGGCACTGTTAACAGTTTTTTACTTTAGGATAAACGTTTAGCTGTAATGTATGGAAGCCTGTTTCCGCCACTGAATAAAAAAATAAAACAAAGGTTATTGCAACTTTTTATCTCACAATTCTGACTTTTTTTTCACAGAATTGCTTGATATAAACTCACAATTGCGAGTTATAAAGTCAGAATTGCGAGATATAAAGTCACAATTCGGACATTTTTTCACAGAATTGCGTGATATAAAGTCACAATTGCGAGTTATAAAGTCAGAATTGCGAGATATCAAGTCACAATTCGGACATTTTTTCACAGAATTGCGTGATATAAAGTCACAATTGCGAGTTATAAAGTCAGAATTGCGAGATATAAAGTCACAATTGCGAGATATAAAGTCAGAATTGCGAGATATAAAGTAACAATTGCAAGTTATGAAGTCAGAATTGCGAGATATAAACTCCCAGTTCTGAGAAAAAAGTCAGAATTGTGAGTTTATATCTCGCAGTTCTGACTTTATTTCTCAGAATTGCAACTTTATGTCTTGCAATTGCGAGTTTATATCACGCAATTATGAGGAAAAAAGTCAGAATTGTGAGATAAAAAGTCGCAATTACCTTTTTTATTTTTTATTCATTGGCGGAAACAGGCTCCATAGTAATGAAATCTCCGAAATGCAGTAAAATGACACATGGAACAACTGTGACATGGATATTATTATAAATTATGGTGGTGTCAACTTAATAGGAATAGCCTACATTTCACATTCACAAATTAATATAACAGAATTAAAAATAATAATTTATTATTATTACATCTCCATAAATGTTTACCTTCATTTAAAATCAAACCTGGAATGACGCAAACTCCCATTGGATTTGAATCGGTTCATTCAAACGAACTATTCGAAAGAACCGAATTCGCAGAAATCAAGACTTACGAACAGTGCTGTACTAAACAACATAATAACACTACACCCCTGCACTGCACATTCCGTAGTCATGAGAAACCTGGTGGTCTAATTCATTGGAATAGTGTGTGGGGATAAACAAAATCTCTTTGGATACAGTAACAGTTTAATAACTGCGACAGGTCAATAATGAGCATACTAACTGAATCGAATTAAGTGCATAATCTCACACTGATCTTGGTTGTAAAAAACCCAAGAGACACTTTTAATTGGCAGTTTTGCTTTCAAATCTATTTTCACATTTCCACAGAACTCTGGCTGAGGAACAATCTCTTGGTCTCTGTTGTGCAATGAATGACATGTAACCCTTTTAATGCCAGAATAATGAGGCAGACCTCTGAGATATATCTTTGGAACCGTTACATTTGACATCAGTTTAAAAACATCGCTTTGGGAATTTATATAAAATGTAACTGAAGTCAAATCTGTTCTCTCATATACACTAGTAAAAAGAACAATCATAATTCCAACCTTTATGCATAGTGATGTATTTGAATAAATAGAGTTATGCCATGTTCAATCAAAGACAAAGCACACTTAAAGTTTGCCAGTGTACATAGACACAGGCAGGGTTGCACGCATGCTCTTATTCTCAAGCTTTTCGAAGTTTGCTGTCTGCCTATTGTTGTTTTATGCAAAAAGTCAGAGGCTGGATAGGACGCGCACGAGGGCCTTATGCAAATGACGTGTCTATCAGCTGGTGTGGGATACTGAAGATGTGAATGCTCTTCTACTAATCCACTTTGCTAAATGTGTTTCTCTGAACCTTTTTGAGAAAAGTTCACTCAGTTTGTCATAGAAGACCCGAGAAAAGCACCACAGACGCAGGGATATAATCTACAGAGCCTGGATCCGTGGAGCTTTCCTGCTATAAGGTAAGTGAAACATTTCTCAAAGTTTTTATCCAAACACAGCTTTGTTTCCCAGATGCCTGCTTTCTTCTCAAGCAGTGACCGTTTTGTGGAATCATATTGTTTTGCATCACAGCTCTCTATATTGACAGATTTAAATGTTTTTGACTAGAAGAGATTAGGGTGGAGAGACAGAGTGATTGTGGTGAATGCTGAATGGGGATACCCTTGCTCTTATGAATATTACAACAAGCCCTTTACATAAAGGAGACCATTTGAAAGCTGGACACATTAGAATAAACCTCAAGATCATTTTACTGG